GGCTGGTTTTTTGTTATTCATTTGTTGGACCTGTTTTCTTGATAGCAGTGGTGTGTTGATTCCCAATAGGATTTCTCTGCGAGGAGATCCTCACAGATCATGTAATTCAACCCTTTTGCTTTGTGAATTCATTTGAAAGTGTTATAATTTCAGTATCTAGTAATTAGGTACATTTGTTGACATGCATTAGATATTTAAGGCAGTAATTTAACTCTGGTCCATGTTAGTTCCGCTAGTGCTTGGGCTTGCAGCCTTGTGAAATGATGAATCAGTTTATCCATTCGCTGAGTGCGCTGCACTGACCTCCTTCCAAGCCTCAGTTCCTGTTCTAGGAACTTGAGGCTATGTAGCCTGCAAATGCCCTGCAGTCTGCAGTGTTCTACTGTGAACTGCTTGTGTGTTGGCAGGCTATGGGTAAGAATGGTTGGTGTCAGCAGGGATGGGGCCCTCTGGGTCCCATCTCACAAAGATGAGTGGTGAAAATCTGATCACTTGCTGTAACCCTTTAGTTTCTTATTAAGCCGATGCCCGAGTAGCAGCTGATGCCTGAGTAATAGCTATGTTAGTAGACTGCTCTCCTGTAGAAGTCCTTAGTTCTGTTTTCCTGAGGGACTAAGAAATTATATTGCTGGCCTGAATTAACAGGAAGGAGAGAACCAATGGCTAGGGAATGAGAGCCAATATCTATAAAAGCAGAGTTGGGCTGGGCACAGTGACTCATGCCTGTAATCCTAGCACTTTAGGTGGCCGAGGTGGGTGGATCATGAGGTCAAAAGTTTGAGACCACAATGATCAACATGGTGAAACCCTGTCTCTACTAGAAATACAAAAATTAGCCGGGCATGGTGTTGTCCACCTGTAATCCCAGCTACTCAGGAGACCGAGGCAGGAGAATTGCTTGAGACGGAGGTTGCAGTCAGCCAAGATGGCACCACCGTACTCCAGCCTGGGCAACGGTGAGCCTCCGTCTCAAAAAAAAAGCAGTTAATATATTGCTTATAGTTAGTTGAACCAGTTTCACACACCAGTGCCATAATGTAAAGCTGAGATTGAGCACAGATAAGTAGATATGGGTTATCTTGATGGAAGAGAATGGTAACAATTCAGAGCACCAATGGGAACATTTTTTCTGAGAGTTCAAACAGTAACAGTAATGCATGTTTCCTAAATATGTATCATGTGAGTCTTTAATGTTTGCAGAAATTAATTCAAATCTAGAGTGTGACAGAACAGTGTGGAATTTTATGTCCTCACTTACGAATATTGGACTAGGCAAGATGTGGATACCTTTTCAGCTGAAGTATGTCCTGCTTTTGCTTCCTGTGATGGGAGTGAAAATCTGATCAAGGAGGCAGGCTTCTTGGCACCATGCTAGAAATCATGGATGATTTGTCATTGGCCTTCTTCCTGGCAAAATCTTAGTTTCTTAGGCAGTGGAGTGAAGCATAACAAAACAAAATCCCTAGAGGCTAGGAACAAGTTTGAAGGGAGGAGACACTGTAGCATGTGCTAAGTACATATCTTCTGCCTTTGGAATGGAAACTAGAAAGTCATTTGAATAGATACATGTCTTTTCTATCCTGTCTGTAATAATTTTTGTGGGATACTCAAATAGGAAAAGGAGCTAGCACTGCATGTTGTGTATATATATCATGTTGCATACAAAACTGATTAGATTTAAATGACTATTCAGCTAGCCTCGTTTTAACATCAGATTGTGAAGTTTACTTCAGACTGTGTCTCTTTGTTTGGGCTTGGAGCCTGCAGTCACTATAACCACTAGGAAAGATCTGTATTTTTTTCTGTTTTCCTCATGTGTTCTGAGTTTCAGAATCTCGCCTTTTGTGTTGTTCAGTCTTCCAGGTGCCCTTTGCCATCTGTAGGCCATTAACTCTTTCGAGAGGCAGCTTTGCTGGAGGTATTGTCTTGTGCCACAGTGAGTTGTAAGTGAGATTTGGACCCAAAGTGAGTTCATGAAGACTGGTGGGCAGGAGTTCAAGAGCTGTAGGATTGTCCTGCAGCCAGTGCCTCATGTACCCCAGCTGGGAAGCTGATGAATAGGTGAGAAAATGCACAGGGATTTCTGTAACAGCTTTTTTCCTTTTAGAAAAGTGCCTCAGCTCTCTTACCAAAAGCATTCAGATCTCTTTTTTTTTTTTTTTTT